AAAGCGAAGAACCGGGAGTAGGCAACTGTAACCCCGTTTATTTTTCCATTATGCATCCCTTCTTCTTTTTTTTTTCTTTTTTTTTTCTTTTTTTTTTTGTGCATCCCTTTTCTTTCCGTGTATTTTCTTATTTTTTGCAGGCAGATAGGCGGTGGGGGAAGAGGTGGGCATCCTTTCACTCTTTGGAGGAAAAGGTGCCCACCCCACCTCCTCTATTGTCCAACTCTTCGGGAAATTATTATTTCCCAACAAGGTCGAGATCCTCTCAGCATCATCGAAAACGACGAACAACCTTTTGAAAAAAAACGTTAAGACATACATATGGTACCTCCCGCCTTCCTTCCCTCGAATAGAAAGCACGGTCATTATCGCTGTATCTCGGCTGAAAATTGCCCCAATTACATTATGGCAGCTATAATCACTGGGCGTTCTATTCGGGGGAAATCGGTAGTCGGAGACCTACATTCTGAACACTTCGAGGGGAAAATTAAAAAAAGCGCAGTTTTTTTGCTTTTTTTTTTTTTTTTTTAATTACACTATATATTCTCCTCTCAAATTATTTTTCGCTTTTCACTACCTACCTACCACTACTCCTAAGGGCCTAAGGCTATATAGAGGGGCCCCGTGCAAGCATAGCCACCCCACAATGAAGGGGTTGCATGATGCCCCCTCCCCCTCCCCCCCCCCCAAAAAAAAAAACAGCGTCAGTCGGAGATGGGGTGCGGTGGGGCCGCGCGGTGGGGGTCCGGCTAACGCAAAGACTGAGCATTTTGCCAGTAGCTGCGCCTCCCCTTTCATCTTCCCCCACCCAATCGACTAGCAGAAGTTTTTCGGGAAACGTCTACAAGGGTTTTTTTTTTTTCCCTTCTTCTTTTTTCTGCTTCTCCCTGTTGGGACCGAAGGTGGGCTGTCCCGATCTCGGCTGTCGTGCAACGTGGCGACAATGCACGAAAAATCCGAGGAAGCAAAGCTTACACTTGTCATCCATGCCTCCCCAGAAAAAAAATAGATTGATTTAAATTTTTGGGGCAATGGACCAGGGATGAAATACTAGGATACCAGCCGGCCCGCCCGGGTCACCTTGTTTGCCCGGGCGGCCCGGCCGTGCAAGGACCAAAGGAGGTCCCAGCTATTAAAAAAAAAAAAAAAAAAAATTGAAAAATTGAAAGAAAAACAAATGTTATGCAGAAAAATAAACTGAACAACTTTTGCCTCAGGGTCACATCGAAATTCTTTACCAAATTTAAAATAAAATATGTGCATATATAGATATTTTTTTTCTTTTGGCCCGGCCAGGAAAGTGGTCCCACGCCACTCTGGTAGCCGAGATCAGATATTAAAACTGAGAAGAACAGATACTACACTTGATCTATTTTTACTTTTAGCCAAAAAAAAGGCCAAGAGGTAATAGGGTCTCGTCGCATACACCTTAAAATTGAGAGAATCCTCCAATAAAACCTCATTGCATACAAGGGTTTTAGGGTTTTGGGGACTAAAACAGCAACCCATGAGCTCTTGACTGCTACTCCTACTCTCCTCCCCCTCTCTTCGCCTCCCCCCAAGTTTGGCGCTTCTTCCTCCTCCTCCTCCTCCTCCTCCTCCTCCCCCTCCTCCTCCTCATCCGCCCTTCTCCTCTTTATCCAGGTCATAATCCTCCGCTCAGCATCTCCTCCTCTTCCACGACTTCATATTCTCCCTCCTCGGGTTTCACCCTCTCTCTCTCTCTCTCTCTCTCTCTCTCTCTCTCTCTCTCTCTCTC